CATCCAAACAGAATGAGAAGAGTCAATTGTCAATGCCTAGCTTTGCTGATCAACTTCTCATTTGCAACTGTTTAATCTCCAGTACTGAAAGCTGTTTGAATTCCAGGGATGAGAGCAACTATTCAGCCCATAGCCCACCACATTTCCCACCACCCTGGCATCAGACAAAACAACTCAATCTTCCAGTTATATAACAATTTACACCTTTTCCCAGCAATACAGAATGTCAGCTAAGGTAAGGGCACTACAAACATAGGAGAGTAAAACAGCCATTAGAAAGTTTGACTGATTCCACTTACTCCATTTAGAAATTACAAATTGTGAGAGTCCTTATGTAGCGAAGGAAGTTATTATGTATGGTTATTAAATAACAGGTTCAGTGGGAGGGGAGTTCCTCAATTCAGTCTTGGAGCATAGAAATTATTGGAAACAGGGATAATATTGTTGGATTGAAACATCCTGGGGCAAATTAAAATTTTCCTTCTGTTTTAACTCCAGGGCTCTGGTTCAGCCAAGGCACTTCACTTCAGATTTGAGGGTACTTAAGAAGAAAGAAACCACCTGTGTCAGTGATGATACACAACTTATTGAATACAGTGATAAAATAGAGATGTAGAATATAAACAAGAAAGTTTATAGTCTCCTTTTCTATGGCTGTATCGATCCTCAGAATAGGCTAGGCTAGGGGATGTTCCATGAGTCTCTGAAGGTGCCTGAGTGAGGGACACAATTCTTCTCCCCAGGCTGCGAACCAAAGGCAACACCTTTTGCCATGGATTTCCTAAAGTTCCTTTCTCACAGTATTGCAGATTGTGTCAATATGCACACATGCTCTAACCACACATATATGCCCCCCCCCCCTTGCATCTTCCTGGGAGCAAAGCTGCTTCAATAAGGGAAACAGTTTCATTTTCACAGCGAAAGGGCTGCTGAAAGGGCTGCTGAAGGTAAGCAGTCCTTACCTTCAAGGCTACACAGTGAAAAAAGCTGACAGGAAGAAAATGGATGCATTCAAAACACAGTGCTGGAGAAAAGCTTTGCAAATGTCCTGGACCAGTAAAAATGAACAAGCGGGCCCTAGATCAAATCAGGCAAGAACTTTCCCTGGAAGCATCAATGACAAAACTGAGGCTGCCATACTTAAGGCACTTTGTACTTCAGATATTTCAAGCAGAAAAACCCATTAGAGAAGACAATAATGCCAGGGAAAGTCAAAGGCAGAAGAAAAAAAGGAAGACCACCTAGGAGACGGATCAGTGCTGTAGCCATGCATTTGCAAGAGCTTGGAGGGGCTGTCAAGGACAGGACGTTATCAAGGGCATTCATTCATAGGATCACCATAAGCTGGAGACAATTTGATGGCACACAACAGCAACAGTTTTCAAGCCAATTATCTCTGGTGTTCTTCCTAATCACCTGATGAACTTGGCATGGCTTCAAGAAACTATTCTGGCCTTTGGACGCAGGGAAAGTTTTCTATACTACCCACTGAATAAGAATAATTCTTATGCTAGAGCCTGTACGATACACTATCCATTTAACAGATGTTTGGAGCTGGAGTTTTTCTCAAGTGGTAGCTGACACAACTTGGGCCAAAAAGGGAACAAGGATTGCTGTCATTTTTGGAAATTTATCTTTGAATTTATATACAACTTTTAAACTACCCACTGATTCTCAAAGAATCCCACAAAACAACAACAAAACAGCAAATCTTTGTCATTGCAATGAATGTTTTAAAAGCCAACTAAAAGCATAGGAGCAGAATAAAAACATTCATTAACTTAGAATCTTATAGGTTTGGGCAAATTTTAAAAATCACTTGGGATTCAGAAGACAAAGTCACTATTACCCAGGGAGGACTTTGCAAATACAGAGGTGCACTGCTACTGAAAAGTTACCATTCATTTCACCATCAAAGGTAAGGCGATCCAAAGAGAGGCCTCTGAAGTAAACCTCCACATCTGGCAAGTTCATGTGGGAGAGAGAAGGTTTGAGGTGCCCCAAACCTAAACTGTATAGACTGTGGTCAGACTTTTCAAAAGGGTAGGAGAAAGTTAGATGTTCTTACTCTTAAGAAAAACTCAGAGTCCACTTCTTGCTCTAAGAAAGAAACGGACAGACACTGAATTCAGACAACATAAGTAACCCACACTTTAGGATTCAGTCTGATTATGCTGTCTGAACCCAGCTGCACTAACAAACCATGGTTTCTAAACAACAAACTACCCATGGCTAGAACCCATTATTTGTTACTGAACTGTGGGCTTTTTGTGGTTAACAAACCATGGTTTGCTAGTGTAGCTGGGTTCAAACAACACAATAACCCACACTTCAGCAACCACCCACACTCAACCATTGAGTGTAGACTACCATGGACTCTGAACCAGCCAAAGTGTGTGGTCTTTCTCACCTTCCTATCAGGGTTAAGAGCCCTGGCTCATCACAGGACTTTTCTAAAGGAATTTTAATTAACTCTAAAATTTAACATCGCCTCTCTTCACTCAGCTGGTTCTGTTATGCCACTTTCTCGATCCTTCTGAAGAACACTGACATTATTCTTTTCTCTCTTTTGAAATTTCACTTGCCACTGGGTTCCTGAATGCAGCATCACTCTGCACTTTCCCTCTTTTTCCATGCACAGAAACAATAGCCATTTACTTCATCAACTTCTTAACAAATTCCCTTAGAAGATCCTCCTTCCTCACTGCTTTGTCTAACCTCCCTTAAAGTGTATGGTGGTGGTGCTCCTTCTCTGGTTCGTGTTGCTGGCCCCACTTGATTCCTTTGCTTGACTTTAAATCCCAGCAAAGGGAGGCAAGTGTGTCAGAGCCAGTCCCAAGGCTCACATGCCCAGGCTAACCTCACTTCCAGCTGGCCCATCCTCTTTAGGGAGTGCAGGCAGGTATGCCCCATGCCCATCCACAGTAACATCAACCTTTCTGTTAACACATGGCTTGCCTTCCTTTTTGTGTGGTAAGCACTTTGATGGTATATCTTTGTGCCTTCCTTCTTGTGGGCCACAGAGATCTAGATTGCTTAGGGATGTTGTTGAAGTGTGCTGGGTGAACAGTCTCACAGCATAGTTGGATGCTACCCTAGATCATTTTTCACATCCATGTAGGGGTGGTTCCAGATGGAGAGCTCCTAGGCACCACCATTCAAAAAGCACTCTGCAACTATTCCATCTCTTCCTTCCTAATTTTTTTGTTGTTCCTGGTGAGGGGAAAAAAGAGAGATGGAAGCAGTAATGGAAAAGCATGAGAGGGATACAAACATAAGATGATATCATCTGTCTCCCATCCATAAAATCCATGAATGAGGTGAGCTGAATGTACAATAAAGGCTTCATGAAGAAGTACGCTAGCTCTCTGAACCCTGATTACCAACTTCTGCTAGCGCAAAAATAAAGCATGGGGAGGGGAGCAGATTTAAAGTAGTAAGCTCCATGTCTTGCTGCTTGGGAGGCTGTCACTTTTTCACTTTGTATTTTAACATAGATTCCCCTTTATTTCAAATCATGTGTTCCCAATTTTAAAACATCAGAGTATATTTTACACTTTTCCTGGAATGTTTAAAAATGCAAACATGAGCTGCAATCATAAAATACTCATGGGGGATTATTGGTGTATAATTAGGCAATATTCATAGTAACAAGCAAATCTTCATTAACCTGACCTATTTTGGGGGGAAAAAAACCCATTAAGCTTGTTGGGGCAATGATGTATCTGCTCAAAGTTTCCCCCAACTCTGAAAACACAACAAGGATTAGGCAATTAATTCTTCTCAATGAAAAGGCAACAAAAACTAAGAACCAAGGACTCCCATGGCAGCTAAGCAGAACCTAATTAGACTTGAGTAGTTCTCTGCTCAAATTTATAAAAATAAAAACCTGGAACTATGAAAAGAAATAAGGTAAAGGGATACCCTAGATTTATGACAGCTTCAGATGTTACTTTCTTTTGTGTATATCACATATACACAAACACACAAAGCCTACTCACACCCCACCCCACCTTGAACAATTTTGAAAAGTGAGATAGACATTGGTTAAATGAAATATATACTATCAAAGTCCTGCAGAGGAGTTGCTTTCAGTTTTCTACTTATCTGAACATATGCAAAGTAATTTGCTAATGTCATGAGTAATATCATTATGAAAGGGTTTTTAGCGCTTGGGTAAAAACTGCAGTAACCACTGCCCTCCATTCTGGCCAAATCTCCCAGAGCCCACAAGGTACACCTCTCTACAGTGGCCTTTCCTAATCTGGTGTCTTCCAAAGGTGCTAGACTACAATCCCTACAATCCCCAGGGACCTTAGTCATTGATCTTACTGGCTGAAATCGAGGAGGCTGCAGTCTAGCACATCTGGAGGATCAACATTTTGAGGAAGTCTGCTCAATATGCATGGCTCTGATCAACTTCATTGGGTTCTTCCTCTTCCAAAGATGTAGATAGTCCTTAATGGCTCAGAAGACACATAGCAATAAGATTTTTGAGAAAACAGACACATTCTACCAAGGAGGTCCAAAGTCCTTATCATGCATTTTTCCACATAGCTAGTAAGATTGCATATGAATGGGGGAGGTCAGGGAGAAGACAGTCCTTGTGCAAATGCAACTGCATGGTGCAGGAAGAAGTTCACTGTTTGGCCAAACTTCAGGAATGCATCCTTGCTACCCCAACCCCTGGCACCTCCCCAGAATAAATAACTGCACACTCAGTTATGCACCCAACCAGTACCTGAAAAAAAATCACTGCTCCCCGCTGCATGCCCTCATTCAGCTTACGCACTGATTTCCATAAAAGCTAGGTCCAAACAGCAATCTGAAAATGGATGTCATTTCTTCCTAATCTCTCTGCAGTTTGTTTAACAATCTTTGTTATGGTGACAGTCTCTCCCCACTACCACCCGAGTGGTGCAGGGTATATGGCCCTCATATAAACCTGTTGCTCACTGCCTTAACATAGTATCTAGAGGTAGCAGCAAATGAATACAGACCTTTATGGTACAGCAGAAACATAGCACAAGCTATTATATACTAGAGCACAGGAAGCCGCTTAATAGAGTGCCAGCCTAGGGTGCTATTCCATCTGTCGATGACACTAACTGCCACCAGCACTCCAATGTTTCAGGCAGAAATTCTTCCAACCCAGCTTGGAGAAGGTGCAAATGGAACCTGTGACTTTCTGTATTCGGAGCAGAGCTCTGTCATGGAGTTACTGCCCTTTCTATTTGTCCATCTGATGGAAACAATCTAAATACAAATGCTTTGGCCTAGCTAACTGTAAAGAGAGCTCTTGTAGAGTCCTAACCATATCTACCTGGAAGCACATCTGACTGACTTCAGTAGAACTGACTTCAATTGAGGGTGCTTACAATTGTGGTTTCAAAACGCAGCATGGACAAATACTAATGGGATAGCCGGTGCCAGGTTCAAGTTTTAGGGGCCCTCAAACAAGATGGCTTCAGTGGGAGGAGGCTGCTCACAGCTGCCCTTTCAGATGTCATACCTTCCAAGCATGGTTCACACACACGTCCAGAAGGACAACAGAAGATACGTGGAAGGAGCAGCTCCATCTTCTCATTTCTGTCACTGCTCACCTGCTCAGAGAGAACCGCTGAACAAGCAGAGACTGCACTGAGGCAGAGGAGCACAGCTTGCAAGCTCCAGGGATCAGAACGGTGCTAGTTCAAAATGATGCTGATCCCTTAACCCCAGACCTTGAGACAGGTCAGTCATAGGATTGCCACATATCTAACTGTACACAGGCCTCAGCTCCTGCCTAAAAACAGGGCAGAGAGAACAGGCTGTGTGTCCCCCAGATGTACCCTTACACAACGATGGTGAGCATTTTGTCATGCTGTGTTCTTTCCAGGAATAGGAGCTTTCCAGACAGAAAGTTAATAGCACTTTTATTGCAAGGGAAGCCAGAAATAGTCCTTCAACAGAAGCTCTCCATGCCATTCAGTGATACACATATATGCAACTGCATTCTTTATAGCAATAGCAATCAAAATGAACAAGCACCTGAACACTGCTGTTTGAGTGCTAGAAAAGTTCTGTTCCAGAATTATTCTAAGGAACAACAACATACTGCATGAAGGAGGAAGAAAGCCCACTACAGAGGTAAAATTTCAGATCTCCCCTCCCAGTCAGTTTCCCACGCTCTGGAACCAACTTAGCAACAACTCCTATCAACTCCTAAACTATCCAGTCTGGGAAAGTTCCCAGGCCCATTCAACCCCAAGTTGATATGATGGATAGAGTTTTGGATGTCTTGCCCCAACTATCAGACTAACCACTCTGTTGATGCAGCACAATGAGTAGGAGTAGGAACCTCAAATTCAAAGGCTTTCAAAGAGTCTGGCAACTGTTGCACCACCAAAGCAGAATTCAGTTTTAAGTTTACATCATACAGAGAAAAGAACCCACGCCAAGAAACAAAAATAAACAGGTTCACATTCCTTCATCAATACCTTCCAAACTAAAGTGTGCCTTTCCCTCCAAACCCTTGACTACTGAAGTAACTTTTAAAACAAACAAAGCTACCAGCAAATAAAGCTCATAAAGAACTCTGTTTCCAGTTCTGCCTGAATGGCAGCTCGATCTGCACAAAGTACTGAACTTATACATATTGTGACTGAAACAGCACTCTCTTGATAATCTGCTCTGAGATCAAAAGCGCACAGGGAACTCTGAGAGGTCATATTCCAGCCTCCCCATCCCCTCACAGCCCAGCAAAACTGTCAGATCAGGCTGCTTCCTTCCTTTTCTCCCTCCTTCCTGGCCCCCAGCCCCTCTCACCTTTGCCGGGGAAGCAGAATGCTACAAAGCAGTATTCTTACTCAGGAGAGAAACAGTTGCAGTGAATGATCAGCTCAGGCAGTTACTTATGGGCAAACGGAAACGTCGGGCCACCTGCTCGCAGTATTTTTCAAATTCACGCTCTTTACGCCAAGTATGTAGGTGCATGTGCCCTAAGGGCTTTCCAAGCAGATCGCTTCTTTGGATCGCTGAAAAGTATTCTATCCCCAACTTCCGTAAAGAAAAAAAAATCCTGCTGAAGTTTTTTTAAGGTGGAACATAAACCTCTCATCATGAACTACTTTTCAAAATCTTTCAAAGCAAAACTCTTCCTCTGAGAGATTTCTTCAGAATTTTCAAGGCTCTTGAACATTAACCATAAGTCAAGCCTACATATTGCTCCTTATAAGTTCATGGGAGAAAGTATAAAATGAACAATCCTTTGCTTTCTAAGTTTCTAATGCACACTGTTGTTCTGATTTCGTTTTTTAACTGCAAATTCAAATTAAATGTTTGTAATTTAAGTGTCAATATCTTAGCTCACAAAGACATGCAATGTATATGTGGTGGGGAACACACGGGGCAGTCTGCAGTCTTGTCAAAATGTCTATCATGGGAATTTGAAGACAGAAGCAGGAGGGAGCAGTTATTCTACAACATCTGCCTGCCACTTTTCCCACCGGGCACTTACCTCCCTTTAAGCCTAACTGCAGTGGACAAGGGACTTTTTTTAACAAATCACAATCATGTTGTGAAAGGGATAAACCTCCACTCCCTGCATATGGCCGCAGTTGAACAAGAGCACACCCTATAATCAAAGAAAAAACAATGGCCCAATTGCAACAGACTCAATTCATGTCACGTGTAGTTTGACCCTCAGACCAAAGTTATATAGGCAGGCATCTAAGCCTGAAACAACCAATGCGTACAGAGCGAAAGTTACTCTCCAAGTGATCAGGGTTTGTTGCAAGCACAGGAATCATCTGAGCTGAGCAACAAAGAGATAATAAAAGCCACAACTGTTGCTCTTGCAAAATGATTGAGAATTCATGTGTCACACAAACATAGATTTGTATATTTTCTATGCTGATTGATAGTGGCACTCCAGGGTTTCAGAAAGAAGAGGAGGAACACATCAATGTTCTACATAGCTAGCTTGCAGGAAAAAATGCAGAATCAATCCAGGCAAGAGGGAAATCCAGTCCACCATGTGAATGGAAAATGATGGGTACACACAGGATTACAGTGAAAAAACAGGGTTGTGAAGAAAAGTGGCTTTGTGAATGTGCAGAAAGAAGTTTGCCAAAAATTAATGCTTGAAACCAGGCTGTATAAAGCAGCAGTTACTAACCACTAGGGGGTTTTATTGCATAATGATTTGATTGCATCACAACACACTTTCTAAGCTGGCTTTTAATCACCTCGAGTAACAGAGCATACAGGCAAGAGGACTTAAGCTATGCTATGACAATTGTTTATAGACAGGGCAGTGGGCTGGGCAGCAGGGAACAAAAGGCAGCAGGCACCTGCTCCATCCTACTTTTCTGCCCATCCAAATCTTTTGCCACCCAGTGATTCAGCTCTCTCTGGAGACTCTCCCTCCAGAGAGGGAAACCTGCGCTGTCATTGTGCTGAAGCAAGAACCCAGTGGAACTTCCCATCTCATATCGCCTGGCATGCTTGTTTGGTATTTCTGCAGCAGTGCGGAAGGGAGAGAATGACTACACAATGCTGTGTAGGTGGGCAACCATATTTCTAGGGTGGTGTGGTGTCCTTATCACAAGCCGCCTTCCCTCTTGAAGAGCTGGCAGAAGGCAGTACTCCTATTGAAGGTATCCTCTGTTTGAAGAGCGGTCCAGACCAAGTCTGGTTTAAAGGCAACTCTGCAGAGGAGAGCACTGTGGGGGGGGGGGGGGGGGGCATCAACAGGGTGGAGCAGGACAGCAGGCTGAGCAGGCCCTCCCACCCGCTGGCCAGTCTTCTCCACTTTGGTGGGGTGCCTTGTCTTCTTTATTAAATCACTTACTTTGAAATTTGCATCCATATATAAAAATTCGCATATGAAAATGAAAGCGTTATCCACAAATCACTGTCCCCTTTCTTTCTCTGTTCTGGTGATGCATTTATCATAGGAGACAGTGGGTAAGTAGCCACCTAGACTCCAGTGCCCATATCGCTCTGCATCAGCTAGAAGGATGGACTGACAGAAGAGAGATTTGGCCCATTTTGCAATATCCTAAGACCTAATTCTTGAACAAAAGGATTTACTGTTGTCTATCCACACAAGATATTTTCATTTGAAGAGTGCAAATAAAATCGGAAAGGAATGGCTAATCTCCAGTACATCAAATGTGCACACACACCCTCACTGTCTTTCTATATATCACAGAGGAAAATATAAATAAGTGTAACATGTGGTAATGGGACAACACATTCATTGTAAGCTTCTGGGTAAAGCTGCAGGCACATCATAGTGGCTCTTGCCAGTGAATGAGCCATCTTCCAGCATACAAGCTGTAGTCTTACTCTTTGCTTTCATAGAACTGCACTTTTTCTTTCTCACAAATTATCAGTGAGATGAGATAATGCCTGGATTCCATCTGGCAGGTTTGCCACTCCAACCCCAAAATTCTGTCTCAGCACAAGCACCATGGAACAAAGCCCTGGACTAGCTTTTCAGCTGCTCTTAGGGAAGACAGAGCTAGTGTCACTCCATCAAGTCCATAGTAACCATGCAGCCTTTACATTGTACTGCTTTACAGAATCACGCATTAGAAACAACATTAAATACTTTTTAAGCATGTGGGAAGTTTAACCACTGCAACTGATTAGGCACGGATGTGGTGGATGCACCATCCCTAAAGAATCTTGAAACTGAGAAGGGATATTTTTGCATCAAGTCATACATTTAGTTCAAGCCAGATGTAGATGTTGGATGCAGTAATTCCAGGATGACATTCTAAAGCCAACCAGAACAGCCCCCTTTGCCCTTAGAAATCCAAATACTTGTGAGGAATTTTATTAATGCATATTTCAAACACTGAAAAGGGTAAAAGGAATTGAGCAAGGCAAGAACACCCCCTTGTCATGATCCACAGGAGGGGAAGGCTTGCCTTCTAAACCTTTCCACTTGTTTTTCTTCTCAATATGCTTACATTTCTTTAGAGTTGCTCTTTCCTGTTCACTTGGATATTTACTCTTGAACCCCGGGGACTCGCCGCTGGGTGTTGCCTGATTGCACAAATATGGCTTTAGTTTGAAGAAAGAGTACGTAGAGAGGGTTACATAGGCAGGAATATGGATCTGAAGGACAAACTATGTCCAGAGCTGAACAATCTGCAAAGAATTAAATGTGTTGTCTTTTGTTCAACCCTAAAAAAGAGAGTCAACGTTATAAAGAAAAAGCTCACTATGCAAGCATTGTGCAGTGTTTTCAGACAGCAGCATCCACAGCAATAGGGTTCGGAACACAGCTCCAAGAGGAAACCAGACCAACAAATAGCCCTGCAGCATTATAAAGACTAACGGATTTATTACGGTGTCAGCTTTCATGGCTATCCACTTCTTTGGAAGCATTAAATGTAATCCTATGTTGGCACGCATATATAAACATAGCTGGAAAAGGCCCTAAACTCATACTGGACTGCTGGGTCCTCAAAGCCCAACCACAGAAACACTTTCATGGTCTGGGAGAGATCCATGCCCAGATTGCGGAGCACCATATAGACTACTCATTACAGCAACTTCGGGTGCTTCCAGAGAAGGTTTTTATATGCAACTATTCTGCCTCATTCATGGAATTTTATGGATTGTCCACATGTTATTGTTAACCACTTGCAATACTCGTATTTCTATGTTTTCTCACCAGTTCCTCTGTCATTTTTGTTACTGCAGAAAATCCAATGCGAAATAAAAGATAGAAAGGCAGAAGAGCTGCATGATGCCTTCCGAGAGTTAGGAGCCATCTGTCTGGAAGCATCCATTGAGCTGGTTCACATGACACAACAACCATCACAAATAATCAGTTATCTTGGGTTGTCCTGTCATCCAAACCTAGATCACTTCCCACAGGGGAGATAATTTTCAGCAACAAGCCACCCTGACAACCCATAGCTTGTTCTATGGGTTGTTGGATCCATGATGGTTTGTAGTGTCATCTGAACCAGGGAGAGCAATTTCATTGTGGGGTGTGGGAGTCTGCTAGTGAGCCTTTTGAAAAGAGTAGCCAAAAGGGGAAAAAAGACAAAAGTTTTCCTGATTTCACCATTGCTGTCACCAGTGACAGCTTCTTCACCAATACCCAAGGGGCACTTTGGAGTCATCATAACTGGTTTGCTATCCATTTTACAGCCACAAGAAACTGTGCAACTGTATTTGTAACTGTTGGTGTCAGTCCTTCCTAAGTGCATTATTATTGGCTATCTTGCCTGTTTAATTGCTTTGTATGTTTCAGCCGTCAACGGGAACAACTGAATAAGTAACTTATATGGGAACTAACAAGCTGAGAAGTATATAGTCTGATTTGCACACAGCTGTCAGTGGCTAATTTCAAGTCATGAAGGGAAAAAAGTAGCAAAAGTAGGTGCATTAACGGGAGGGCCATGTTTTCCTCTTGCCAAAATAATCCTGTTGCTTTAAAGTGTTAAAACTAGCATTTCTCTGTGCCCTCCACTTTCCAGGTAATTCCCTCCACTGTATCAGCAGGGAAGTTGGAGACTCAAGAAGGCACTGAGATGTGTCAATGCAACATCTGGAAGCTGTAGTAAAATTGCCAAGACAGAGATACTGTCTCCCGTTCTTTATGGGGCACCTACTTTTGCTGATTTCTAGAGCCTTTTAACTGGACAACTCAGCAACTGGTCCCCCGCAACTACCTGCAAATCAGCTTATATGGTCTAGTCTTGTCAATTTCCATGTATGTGCTATGTTACCTAATCCACT